CCAGGCACGGTGGCTCACACCTGTAATCCCAGCACTTTGGGAGGCTGAGGCAAGAGGATTGCCTGAGCCCAGGAATTTGAGACCAACCCGGGCAACTTGGCCAGACCTCCTCTCTAAAATAAATTTAAAAATCAGCCAAGCATTGTGGCACCTGCCTATAGTTCCACTTGGAAGGCTTAGGTGGAAGGATCGCCTGAACCCTGCAGGTCGAGGCTGCAGTGGCCATGGGTGAGCCACTACACTCCAGCCTGGGTGACACAGTGAGACGCCAACTCAAAACAAAACAAAAAAATTTCGCATAAATTTTCTGGGATGGGTGAGGAGGAGAGAAGAGTTTGAGGAAAGGGAAAGTTTCTATGCAAAACTTTTTTTTTTTTGAGTCAGAGTCTCACTCTGTTGCTCAGGCTTATTTTTTGATTTATTGTAGAGACGTGGTTTCACCAAGTTGTCCAGGCTGATCTCGAACCTCTGAACTCAGGCAGTCCTCTCACCTTGGCCTCCCAAAGTGCTGGGATTACAGGCTTGAGCCACCATGCCCAGCCTCTACAAATATTATGAAACCAAAAAAGATTAATATCAGGGTCAAGTTAGCCTATAGCACTATGAAAGAGAAAAAACAGTAAAAATTTAAAAATGCTAATATTGTGAGATGACCTTTTTAGAATACATATATACAGAAAGAGGAAATTAATGAAGAAATCTAAAGGTGAAGCGCCCCCCCCCCAAAATAAGGGGAAACCCAGACAGATTAATCAGAGAGACTCCTTCAGGATATTTGGGCAAGGGGATGATGGGACAAAGGTCTTCAGAGATAAAATGCCACATAGTGGCTCTTAACTGACCAAAGGTAAAAGAAAGGAAAATGCCGCCGTAACCACGGATCACCACATCAAAACAAAAAAATTTTGTTAACAGCCTCATCATGGAAGACATGGGGGCGGAGGCTGAGCAGAGAGGAAAGAAACCAGCAAGTCCACGGTCAGGCCTGCCTGGTGAGCTTGGGGAGGTGTTGGTGATATCACAATTGGCCGATCAGGTCTGGCTGGAAAGAACAGTCAGCAGGAGGAGTTCAGAGAGAGGAAGGAGTTGTTTTCATTCTTGATCAATAGGATGCAGCCCTACAGAGTAACAGCATAGCTGTGAAATGTGTAAGAGAATACCTTGCTCAGTCTGTGCGAATGTGACAGGGCTACATGCCTTGGATGAAGTCTATGGCACAGAGCCCAGACTCTTAGTCCACCACTACTAAGCCAGGTGTTTTGTTGGGTTGGCTGATTTTGTGCCTGAGAAGGGTCTCAGAGTTAGCTGATTCCAGTCCTTCAGATGGATGGTTTGTTTCAAAAGAAGTAATGCGTAATATTGATAACCAGTTAGGAAGTTACTGCAGTTGAAATTATTCCCCCTGCAATGTTTGCTCTACATTTCGTGAAGTTCAGATCCCTTGACGTTGCCTTTATAGGTTTATTTATTTATTTATCTAGAGTCAGGGTCTCACTCTGTCGCCCAGGCTGGAGTGCAAGTGGCACACTTGTGGCACACTGCAGCCACCACCTCCAGGGCTCAGGTGATCCTTTTGCCTCAGCCTCCCAAGCGTCTGGGACTACAGGCACATGTGATCATGCCAGACTAATTTTTTGATCTCCTGTAAAGATGAAGTCTTGCTATGTTGCCCACGCTAATCTCAAACTGGGCACAGTGGCTCACTTCTGTAATGCCAGCACTTTGAGAGACAGGTGAGAGGATCGCTTGAGCTCAGGAGTTTAAGACCAGTCTGGGCAACATAGTGAAACCTCATCTCTACCAAAAAATAAAAATAAAAATTAGCCAGACAATGGTGGCCTGTACCTGTAGTCCTAGCTACTCAGGAGGCTGAGGCAAGAGGATCACCTGAGCTCGGAAGTTTGAGACTGCGTGAGCAGTGATTGTTCCATTGCACTCCATCCTGGGTAACATTCCAGTCTGGGTAACAGAATGAGACCCTGATACAAAAAAATATAAGCTAAACTAATAATAATAAGAAAGGAAACCCAATTTTTAAATGGGCCAAATTTTTGAATATACATTTCACTAAGGAAGATTTATAAATATCTAATAAGCACATTAAAAATGTTCATCATTAGCCAGGCACAGTGGCTCACGCCTATAATCCCAGCACTTTGGGAGGCCGAGGTGAGAGGATTGCCTAAGCCCAGGGGTTTGAGACCAGCCTGGGCAACATGGCGAGACTTCGTCTCTACAATAAATCAAGAAAAATTAGCCAGTCGTGGTGGTGCATGACTGTAGTTCCAGCTACTTGGAAGACTGAGGCAGAAGGATTGCCTGAGCCCAGCAGGTCAAGGCTGCAGTGGCCAGCATGTCACTGCCCTCCAGCCTGGGCGACATAGTAAGACTCCAGCTCAAAAAATGTTTATCATTAGTCATCGGAAAAATGAGAACTAAAACTGCAATGAGATACCAGTACATACCCACCAGAATGGCTAGAATTTAAAGGATGAAGCTTTCTAAGTTTTGCTAAGCATATAGAGAAACTGGCATCCTCATGCCTTGCTGATGAGAATGTTACTTAGAAACTGTTTAGGAAAAGTTGAGCAGTTTCTTTTTCTTTTCTTTTTTTTTTTTTTTTTGAGTTGGAG